AGAATATAAAAGACTTCTAACTTACATCATTGCAAAGCTAAAAGTAATCCAATAACTATTTCTACATTGCCAATACTTGAGGGGATCAATCACATAGTAGCAAGGAGAGGACTTCCAGGCAGCAACAACATCACCATTACTAGAGATTGCACATTCCTCCTCAATTCACCACACTATGGGATCCAAGACAATACATCTCTAGAGGCTTTTTATATCTTTGGGAAACTGTAGGCACTATACAAATGGAGATCAAGGGTGGTGTACCTCCACTAATCTCACAATCGACACAAGTTCTTCACATTGCAATCACATGGGAGAGATGAGGTTGGGGATCATGGATAAGGCGCAAAGTTCACCACCATTATGGATAGGGAGCATGTGTTTATGGGGTGAGTGGCACGAATCTAGGTTGCACAGAACCAAACTCTAGTTCCTTGGTCTGATTTGCATAGAACCAAACTCTAGTTCCAGGGATCCCCCCTTCATCACCACCCCCCCCCCCATATGCTCTTTTCCGGTTTAGAGCATGTCGAAATTGGACCTCTATGGTTTTTAAGAGGATAAATATGAAAAACCCCATTAGACATTGCCAACACTTTTTGTTGGCAAAAAAAACTAAAAAATATTTGATAATGCATGTTTTTTTTTCATATCTATTTATGTGAAGCTGACAAAGATAGCTCTTGGAGTTCATCCTTTATAACAATGGGGAGGGATGGAAAGAATGCATTTATATATTAGTGTATAGAGTGTTGGTTGGTTTCTCCAACTTCTACATTTGAATTACAATATTATAATTACAATTTATTTCTCTTCGGTCTACTTAATAGGACCTTTGTAGCACATATGGTTTTTACCTTTTATCTTATGGTGATTTATCATAGGATAACCACAAAGCGGAACCTAAACCACTATGTGCCATATATCATATGCCACATGCCATGTGTTGAAGGATAATGGAGCAAAACCCAAATTTCAAGGCCTTGGGCCACTGAATGAAGGTATGAAGCCAAACTCCCAAGCTTGTAGCCAGGGAGTGAAAGAACTAGAGCATGGAGCAACTCTTAAGCATTTAGCCCAAAGAGTGAAGGGACATGAGTATGAAGTGACGTAAGAATAATTCTAAAGCATTCAGTATGCCAATGCTAGGATTAGCATGCAAACAAAGCCAAATAGAGCCTAGTGCTATTTCAACATATTGGTGGCCTAACGCAAGGATATGGGTATTCCACCAGTTAACATGGTATGAAACCTAGGATTAGACTTAAGCCGAATGCAAAACAAAAATAGGCACACAAGCATGAGTTAGACTATGCCTCAGATTGGTCAGCTATATCTAACCTACCCACTATCCCTATTATATATTTGGAACCCCCCACATATTGTATTCAAGACAATCTTTACATTCCTCCACATTAGAAAATTTAAACACTTTCCATAAATAATAATTGGGTCCGAATAGGACTAACATAAAGGGTATGATAGCAAAAGTGTTTGGTAGACATAATAAGTTATCATCTAGCAAATATTGAAGGACCAATCTCAACATCTCAAAGGTTTTTACCAAGCTAGTGTAGGACAAAGCAAAAGAGAACTAACAAGTCAGGCCAAGTATGCTTGGCTAAATAGACACTTAGGAATTCCTTCTTTATGTTCGTTTGGCCAAATACAGATGCTAAGTCAAGTTTATTAACACTTGAACAAAAGGGACTGATAAAGAGTCTAACAATACCAACCTCCTGTCGTTGTGGCAGTAAGGAAAAAATATTTGAAAGGATTAGCTGACAAGTAACTTTTAATACTTATAATCACATTTGCGACAAACTTATTCAATATGAATCTCCTCTTTGTCTTGAGGCATCTGTCCAGAAGTGCCTTTACAATAAAGTAAAAACATGTGTGTATATTAAGTGGATTGATGATATGGGCTATAACTTGCCATGCTATGTAGAAGCAATTGCACTCATATACAACAAGAGCCTATAGTGATAGAGTATTATATTATAAGAACTTTGTAAGCAATTAAAGAAAACGGCTTGAGAAATAATCCATAAGGTAACTCATATACAAAGGGAAAAAGCTTATAAACAAGAGTGCAATCAGTTAAAGGTTTTGGGATAGTTAAGGTTAAATGTCCATAGGTTTGAATATTATTAAGCTAGGAAGTCTAAATTCAAGAGCTTACAAACTCCTCCTTTAGATGTGGATTATGAGGAAGATTAAATTTAGTTCTTTTTTCCTACTCAATTTTTATAGTGAATTTCTTCTTTAACTTATGATATTTAGTTTCTTATTGGATTTATATTATTTAATTTCTTCTTGGATTGAAGATAAGTCTTAAATTTTGAATGGAATTGTTGGTTTATCCCAAACCAATCATTTGAACATCAAATTTTGTATTTGGTGAACTATAGTGACATCTATTAACTTGAGCTCAGCTTGTGAGCTAAGCTCAAAAACTACCCAGCCCCTCCAACAAACAACCATTGAAAGATCACCTACCCTTTGATGCAGCTTGAACCCATGGCATACAAGTTCAAAAAGAATGGCTAGATCTTGAATATAAATAATGGATGATGAAAATTGAGATGATAGAAAGAAATGGAAAATGGAAAGAGATATAAGAATGAAGTATAAAGTTTTAAAACATGCTGAAAAAACTAATAAGGGGAAAACTGTAGGGTTAAATCAAAATTTAGAACCAAGAAAATGAAGAACAAAAGAGATAAAAAAGTTAAAGAAAATAAGTAAGCTAAGGAAGAGAGTCTTAAACCTAGATCCCAGCCTCAGAATATGTATAATGGTAAATACTTTTATATCCCAAAATCAACTCAAAGTTCAAGTGGAAGAGAAGAGAAACAGAGAGAATCTGTTGCTTGAGAATGTGAGTGGATGAATGGATGGTGGGAGAAAAACTATTATTTGGTCAATTGCTAGAACCTTTGAGGAGTCTCTAGAGATAACCAACTACATATCTCGTATTGATGATAGAATTGGTCTAGCAACTCAAGTTTTGGTCATAACACTCACTTCAGAGGTGGTACAAAACTAAAACCAAAGACTAAAATCTATGCTAACGCCATCACAAGTTATAGAACAGCCAAGAGCTGATACCCCCTCTACCACAAAAATGTGCCTCTAAGTAGTATGTAGAGCATATTGTCAACATATGTCCAGCCTACACTTCACTTGGTGAGTCTATGTATATTCCTGGATATATTCAGAGATTATTCCATATGTTTAGAGCAGATTAATTATTGAAATACACATTTTCCAATGTGTTTCTGATGGAATCTTGAATGTGCAACAAGGTTGCAAAATCCCTTACAATTGATCCAACCATGGTAGAATATCTCACTTTCATGTGAGGCATTATATGGAGTATAGTACAAATCAAAAGATCCATGGTAATTTCAAGTTAAGTATTTCCTCTTTAGCCTTTGATCTTGTATTTTTTAGATCTTTTTTTTTTTAATTCCAACAATTATTAGATCAGGCTTTTTGGTTGCATGAATCCTAGATTTAATTAATTCTAGAACTTTTGACTATCTTTTACTTGTTTTTATGTGAGAGATGCAATTTAATCTTTTCTTATAATCCAGTTAAGAGTTGAGGCAAAGAAGTATAATGACTATTGACAACCTCTTATTTGCTTTAGATTTACCATTAGTTTTCCCCGAAATGATCATCTTTAACATATCAATGCCACCCTAACGTGCCATCATTTTTTACTCTGAGACCATTTTTCCACTCCAATCATCTTTCACAAAAAAATTCCATCTTCATGTATCCCATCCCATTCCCCTCTTACCACATTTATGTTTACCACCTTTTTCAATAATCCTTTTTCTAAGAACTCTTCAAATCACAATACTAGAAAATCCATTTTTTAAGGTTTTAGGTCTTAGTTGAAGCTAAGTATCATGGCAAATTACAATATCATCAACAATCTAACTGGACAAGGTTTTTGGAATAATTCTCTATGTTGACTCAATTTTTCAAAACTTAGTGAAGGTCAACCAATCAGAAGTTACAATTGAAAGTCTATAAATGTTTGATGTCAAGGAGTTCATGTTTACTAGGCAAAATGCATTTGGCTCTTTGGCATATGGTGAGGTGGAAAAGTCTTTCTTTCAGCCAACTTTAACTTTTAGAGGAGATGTATTCTCTTGTCTATTAACTTGTCATTTTCAGGAATCTTTTTCTTCTTTAGCATCAATAGCAATATTTTTGCCAATGGTTTTAGTACCAAACGTTCATGGTGTCTTTTAGAAGACTCCTTTACACATTTTTCACCTACTAGCTAAGATATTAAATTGTAAGCAACCAACTTGAAAAACAAAACTTAATTTCCTATTGGGGTTTAAATATAAAAGAAAAAGACATATGAATAAAAATGCATTCTTTTTCCAATTCATTAAGTGTATTAAAATATTTGAGGTTAAGCATATCTAATCTTGGAATAGTATTGGCTACATGATTTTCTTGGGAAGTCTAAATTCAAAATTTTACATTTGGTTTTAAAGAAATCTCAAGTCTGATTATTATGACACTATAGTTGGGTTAAACATTTTTTCAATATTCAATTTACTCATTTAGATGGTTCTTTAAAGTTTTAGCTAAAATTCATTATCATTTAGAAGTTATAGCTACAACTAAATTAGCCCAATTAGTTTAGTTGGCATCCAGGTCCTTTTTATAGAGCTCTTAGCAAATAATAGCTTTTTGTGTTGCTAATCTGCTGAATTTTATAATCTATCTACATTGCTTCATACACTACTTATCATCAACTTAAATGGTCTACAACAAGTATAAATTGGCTCACTGTGAATTTTGTTGCATCCTAAACTTCAGAACACCACAGTCATGCCTCTTACTTCCAGATACAATACAAATGGGACTTTAATTTATATTTATACTATAGATGGTACTAAGGACCAGAGTGAATGAGGTGAATCCCATGCTTCTTACAACAAACCTATATATCTCAAACTGCCCGGTTGGGTAAATTGTATATGCTAAACTGTTGATTTATTTTAGATTGGATTTAGATTTTTATATTACAAACAACCACATTATTATTTGGGGCCAAACTGGACGGACTCCCATGTGAAAGGCGAGATGAAGCGCACTTCCACGGGGCTCTTGAGCAGCAGGCACACGCACACGCACACCGCCGCTATCGCCACCATGGACAGGATGAAGGGCCTGTACATGGGACCCCGAATGCCCGCAAAGTTTTGCCGGACAGGATGCTGCCCAGCTGCTGCTGCGACGCATTCGCTCCCGCAAGAAGCTGGAAGCAGCACCTTGGATCCTCCTGGAGTTTGAGTCGACGACGACGGCCATGGCGGCAGCTCGATGCTCAACGCGTTTTGGATCCAGTTAGTGGCTTGAGATGGAATAGACTTGCCTCTGGACGCCGCGATCTTGCTCCATACCAGCTGAATGTACGTGAAGTTCCCGTGAGACAGTGCACAGTCGAATGGAGACTGGCCGTTAATGTCTCGAGCGGAGTTCCAAGATTGCAAGCCAACCTAAGGAACGAAAAACACAAAGTCATGGAAAGAAAAAGAAGACCAAGTTACCTGTGAAGCGTCACTCGTCAAGGCGGAAACGACTCGATCCGCTCCTATCATGCACGCTGCGACGTGCAAAGCCGTCAGTCCCGCAGGCCCAGCCGTAGCGGCCGAGAATACGTAGCTCTCTTTTCTCTTCGCCACCGGGCTTTGATACGTCAAGAGGAACTCTACCATAGTGATGCTGTTCCGGCTTGTTGCCCTGTGGAGAAGGTTGACACTTTCTAATACGTCCGCAACGTCCTCCACCTTCCCGGTGCTCTGGAAGCTGTAGAGCGTGTCCAGGAGTGCCTTCACCACTGCACACCACTCGCGCTCCACCGCGAACATCAGCAGCCACTTCATCGTTGAGCTGCGGAGATCGCAATGATCTTGTTTCTTCATCAACTGCCAGTGTTGCTTCTGGAACACCCATCCCAGTTCATGCAAGAACCTGGACGTCTCGTGTTCTACAGCCAGCTCCACCAGATCAACGAAAGCCACAGAGTACTCCTCTGGGAACGCACAACTGTCTGCCATGGCCCCTGCTCTTGACGAAGCAATCTCTATATCCTCTTCCAAGCTTCGCACTTCGTCACAAATTGCATTGTCTGCAACCAAAACGGGTGCAAAGCTGCTGCCGCCATTGCGCTCCACCTGGAAAGCCCATCATGTCAAACGATGGATTACCATTTGTCATACGTTTGTACCTCAATGAAGCACCGGCCGATAGACTCGCACGGAGTGTGTGTGAAACACAAACTGCCTTCAGCATCCTCTTCGTTTGCGTCAATTTCGCTCCATGATTGAAGATTATATTCATCATGGAACGCACAGTAAATTCTACAACAGAAAATACTCTGTTAACATCCCAAAAGACGTATGATCTTTTACCTCGTATCTGCACCAGCGAGGTCAACACCGTGCACCAAAAATCTTGTTTCCTCGTTTCTTACAGCTGCAAGAGGTCTAACAGCCAAAATTTCGGGAAAATCTCTTGATTTTAGGCTGACAGCTTGCACCTTCCCTACGTAAAATATAAAGAACAGGTTAAGAAGACACAAAAGCAGAACGCATACCATCGACTACATATGCAGATTGATCGCAAACTTGCACAAGTATCCGGCCTTTGTTCCAAAAGTCGGTAGGAGACGAATCAATTAGCCGCTTAAGATTCCCAAGTAGGTCATTGCAGAGCTGAGTTGAGCACAAAATGACAATAGAAATAAGATCCAAAAAACAAAGACAGCACACCTTTTGCCATGCAGAATTTGGCATAGATAAAAAGATAGCCAGTACAACGCAGCCAGGTCGAATGTAGCTTTCCATGTCGGAGGGAACATGTGAGAGCCATTCAAGAATCTAGCCAAAGCGAAAACTGGATTAGAATCAATAGCCTGTCTCCTTACCTGTGCTCGTAAGAGCTGCGGAAAATCACCAGGATTCCTGTCAAACAGCTTAAAAGATATCCTTCCCGTTCGCTCCTGTAAGAAGTCGCGTTAAAATCCTTCTAAGAAATAAACTCTTCGTTACCTGCCAATCAGCGTAGGAACTATCAGGCGATTGCTCGGAGCCCGATTGGGATTCACTTGACTGTTGAGAATGTCCAGCCTGAATAAACGATGTTGGAGGTACGGCAGGACTGGGAGGTCTATCGCGTGCTCCCAGAAGTCCAAGCAGTGATGGCCTGACTGCGTCTCTCGAGTCGGGAGCAACAGCAGCCTTATTGACAGCAGCAGCCACGGGCGATTGGAAAGGAAAAGGTTTATGTCCTGACGGACCATCGACCTCAATTACGGAATGTGCCGGCCTTGACGTTGGTGGTGGCGGAGCATGACTTCCTCTTGGCAAGTAGTCGGTTCCGTTTTGCAGAGGTTGAGACACCACTGGCGCTGGTAGTTCCTTTGCCTGAGCTTTCAAGTTGTTCTGGAGCAAGACGGAGAACGCATCCAGCAAAGGTAAGCCCGGTAGGGCCGAGAGAACCTGAGCATCGTACGGTGACTTCACTTCAGGCTTTTGGCCGAAGCCATTGCCTTCCTTGCTACAGTCCCCCAGGGCAGTTGACACGGACACGGCTCTTCTGAGATACTCGAGGGCCAGATCACGCTCCTGGACAGCGTTTGCTTTTTCAAGAGCGCTGGCTGCTGCAGGCAACTAACAGATTAACATCAAGATTCCCATCAAAATCTTGTGTACCTTGTAGTTGTGATAGAACTTGCAGCAGCTTCAGCAGCCCGGCACTTTTGCCAGCTACATCGTCTTCTGACAGCAGGAAAGCTTGAGCTGCTGCGGCATCAGGCTGTGTCTTCCTCCTCCGCCTGTTGTGCCCGGCAAGTCTCCGTCGGCAGCTCCTTTTTCCTTCATCAAACTCCTGAAGTGGATGAAATCTGAAAGGCAACACTTTCAATCCGAAAATCCATCAATAGAAACAAGTTTACCGGCTACATTGCTGGCAGAACCGCTGCATGTTTCGTGACACGAGAGCCTTCGCGGCCTTGGAATGCATCTCGCAGACTTTATGGCGCCTGTGATAGTCCTTCGCATTGCTCAAGTCCGCCTTGCAATCGTCAACTTGACACATTGGATACTGCTGCTGCTGCGATTGTTGCTGTTGCTGCTGTGGCTGCTGTGGCTGCTGGCAGCTAGAACCAGGAGACGTCGACCTCTGCCGTTTCCCATTCCTAGCGGACTCGTCCGTAGACGAGTACGTACGACCACCCAACTTGAGCGTCAGGCACTCGGCATCGTCCTCGTCAGTGGATGATGCATCCAATACGATTGTCTTGGTCGCATTCATTGGCGACGAGGCCAGCCATTCCTGATCGCGCTTTAAGCTGAGCCCAGTGGCAGGAGTAGCAGCATGGTGGTGGTGGTGGTCAAGTTGCGTGTTGGAACCAGCTTTGTCTGCCGACGAGGGCTGTGCCAGGAAGAGCAGGCTGTCCCAATTCCAGGCCTTGACATCCCAGTCATTCCTCTCAGGCCCCCGAGTCTCCACATAGCGCCCCCATTTCACCTCACCCGGGTCGGGCGCGAGGCTAAGATCCCCCCCTGGAAAGAACTGGTGCTGGTAGTAGCTCGTCCCCAAAGTCACGCCGGGCTCGCTCTCCATGGCCACGCCCAATTCGCCTCAATCCAAGCTCAAATTCTCGCCCCCAAGCTCATCGATCCCCCACCGACGACCGACAAGGACGGAAGAAACCCCAACTCCAAGCCTAGCGGGAGCTCGCCGCGGCAAAATTACGGGAGTATCCGCGGGCTATGGCAGCGCATTCTCGATCCCGGCCGCCGCGCCGGTGGAATCTGTCAAGAACACTACCTGTTGGCCGCGAGATCTAGCGCTTGGCGCCGCGCTCCGCCGCTCGTCGATCCAGCAAAGCAAGTGGAGGAATGGAGAGACCTAAACCTAGCGCGAAACAGCCATGGTGGTACGAGAGAGGCTGTCAAGTCTGCCAGAGGTAGCAGCAACAAAGCGGACTAACACGCTATTGGTGGGCCTCGTTGGTACTGCACGGTAAAAGAAAAAAAAAACGTTCTAACCTAAAACCCTGCAGACCATTTTTTAGGGTTCCTCCGGGCGCGGTGATGGAGGCTTCGTATCAGCGCTTCCCCACCGTCCGGATTCGCGACCTCAAGGATGATTTCCTCAAGTTCGAGCTGCGCGATACCGACGCCAGCATTGCTAATGCGCTGCGCCGTGTGATCATTGCCGAGGTTCCGACCCTGGCGATCGACCTGGTGGAGATTGAGGCGAACTCGTCGGTCCTCAATGACGAGTTCATCGCGCATCGTCTAGGTTTGATTCCTCTCACCAGCGACAAGGCCATGGAGATGCGCTACTCGCGGGACTGCGACGAATGCGACGGCGATGGAAGGTATAGCTAAGCCTTTCTCTTCCATTTTTTTTGCTATCATCACACATGGCTCTAACCATTTTTTATTTTTTTGCAGGTGTGACTACTGCTCGATCGAGTTCACGCTGTCCGTGAAATGCACATCCGAGGAAACGCTGGATGTTACCAGCCATGATCTTCAAAGCTCGGATTCACAAGTTGTGCCAGTGGACTCGATTGGACACGACCCGGACATCGAAAACTTCAACCAGAAAAAGTTGGTTGCGATTCTCTTTCCTTTTCATGCTTTTTCACTGACTTTGCTGCTTTGCACCTCAGGGGCATTCTCATTGTAAAACTCCGGAAAGGACAGGAGCTCAAGCTTCGTGCCATTGCCAGGAAAGGCATTGCCAAAGATCACGCCAAATGGTCGCCAGCGGCAACCGTGACGTTTCAGTATGAGCCTGACATCCACATCAATGAGAATCTCATGGAGACGCTGAGCGTGGAGGAGAAAAGAGAATGGGTCGATAGCAGCCCAACCAAAGTCTTTGAGATCAATCCAGAGACGCAGCAGGTCAGCCAGTCGAGCTTAGAGTTTGATAAGAAACTAAAGCTCAAAGCTTTGTTCCATAGGTGGAAGTGATCGACCCAGAGGCATACACTTATGATGACGAAGTGATCAAGAAAGCCGAAGCCATGGGAAAGCCTGGCCTTGTGGAGATCTATGGCAAGGAGGACAGCTTCATCTTCACAGTGGAATCCACCGGAGCGATCAAGGCTGCTCAAATGTTCCTGAATGCCATTGAGATCCTCCGCAGCAAGCTCGATGCGGTCAAGCTCAACTTTGGAAGCGACGAGGCAGACGAGCAATTTGGAGATCTTGGAGCACACATGCGTGGCGGCTTCTAAAGTTGAGCTCGATAGGTTTGTAAATTTTCTGAGGTAGAGATTTTCTAGTGGTTTACTGGTAGCTAGGAAGTATGCTCCTTTCTTTGCAGTTTGAAAAGAGAGACAATTGCTGGGCACATTCCTATGGGAGACATGCAGAGATCGCGAAACAAAAAGAAACGAGATACTCCAGCTGCTGAGAACACGACTGTGTCTGAAGCTTTTTCTCTAGTTCCGGAGCATGTTGCTCTAAGCTTTTTCTCCGGAGTCTCAGCACGAATCTATTTCTCTAGATCACGTTGGTTGCTTAGCCAAGTAAGACATTACATTTGGTTTTAGACACTGGATTATCGCTACCTGCAACGACGTGGTGGGAGTGAGAATGAGAAAAAAAAGAAGAAAAAAAAAGAGCGAAAGCGCTGTCGCTCGAGCTAGTTGTCACATTCACTTTTGCTGTCTGCTACTCGAGCTATACGTAGGAAGCACATTCGGCTGGCCAGTTGTTCTGTTTTGCAGCGTTAATCCGTGCGTCAAGCAGCAACCCCATTCACCAAAACGCACTCCATACCTCCCCTGTCAAATCCACGAACGAAGCGTCAGCTCTTAGAAGAACAAATCTGCTGCCGTTTTCGCCGCTCAAAGACCAGGAGTGGTGTCTCTACTGATTCTTCAAAGTAAATCCCATCTCTACCTGCAATCTTGCCGTGGCAAGGACCTTCGGTCGGGAGGAAATGCGGTACTTTCTGGTAGCCTTTCACAAGATGTACGATTGATTGAGATATTTTCCTTTAATTTCTTGCTGGAAGAATCTTGCTTCAACTCAGACAAGATCGCATCCAGGGCGTGGACAAGCCTGAGTTTACAGCAGAAGTCGAAACTGACCACGCAAAGATCCACAAGCTCCTCTTGACGAGATCTGCCTGATTGTGATGATACTCTAATTGTGGTGATGCTGAGGTTGCTCCAAAGCTAACTGCTTACCAAGTTCGCCACCTTGGAATGAAGAGAGAAGGAACTAGAGCAATTCCTTGAATTGATTTTTGATACCAAAATCTTGGATGCACAAGCAAAACACAAATGCAATTTGAGGGAGAGAGACCAAATATTGAGGTTAATTTTTTAAAAAAAAATTGATAAGAAAAGCAAAAATATATATTGAAAGGTTAATTATATGGATTTTTTTCTTTCTTTTTTTGCATTCTAAATCTGGAATATTTTACACCAATCCATACCATCTTGATTAAAAACATTCGTGAATATCATTATTAACACCTTCAATATCTCTAAAGTAAGTCCATTTTTAATTTCATTCTTTATATCATTTTGTTTAGAAAATCTTCTTTCGCATGAAATAATATTAACTAAAATTGTCATACAAAGTTGCTATAGCCTCATAAAATCTGAGAATGCAAACGTGAAAATTGAATTTAAACATTTTTTTTTTTTTTGAAATATACTCTACCAAAGCTCCTTATATCTATAATCATGTCAAATATTATTCAAAGTTTTTCCTTCAGCTGATTTCAGCATTTTAATAAAATCATTTAACTTTTACATAACTTATATATCAATGATAATTTGATTATAATTGATTTTGTTGAAAAGATTTTCTAGTTGAAATCGAATTTATTTTCTCCTCTCTATTAAATCATCTAAAATTGAACAAGGATGAAAAATCTTCAGACTATTGAAGAATGAGAAATTTTCAAAACATCAGTTAAAACCATTAACCACTTCTTAAATGTACTACTTTTCAATACTTTTTCAACCTTTAAGTGATTCTCTTCATATATCTAATATTGCATTCAAATCCAAAACTCTAGCTTTACAAAAGATTTCCTTATATTTAAAACATGAGAAATAATATATCCATTTACCTAGTACTTTAGCTTTCTAGATTTAACAGCAGATAAAGAACTAGATAATAAAGTTGAATTTGTCCAGCAATTTAACAAATACCTCTTCGAAATTTTTTGGATTGTTAAATCTAAAAAATTACTGATCATCACTAATGATGTCCTCTCATGTTGGAACGTTAGATTGAATTTATTCAACTCTGTGAATATGTTAGCTAGGAAATGAGTAAGAAACTATACCTATAATAAATATATAAAAAAATTATTAAAAAATAGTTATAATAAAAAAAGGTTACAAGTATATTTGAAAGATTCTCAAAGTGTCATACCATTTGGGCAATTTAAATTGCCAAAGCTAGAAAATCACTAACAAAACTTTTATAAACTGTTTCATAATTTGCCCTTATGACAACTATTGCACCTTATGAATTTGTAACAAAGTTAATGGCTTATGATCATACCTTTCAAACAACTTCTCTCTTATAATAGACCCTAGCATAGTGCTACATCCATCTATTGTCAAAACTACAAGTTTGTTCAAGTCTAGATTTAACCTCTCTACTACTTGAATTATGTTATTATAGACTGATTTAGCTGTACTATCGTAAAAAGGTAACAATTGAATGAACCTTACAATTGGAACACCCCTTCCTTTGTCTATGAGATAACTTGTATAAAGAATTAGGTGTCGTTTAAATTGATTATTTATACTCTTCTGGGCTAGTCCACATGGCAGTTTTAAGCAGTCTATATGACAATTTATCAAGTTAAAAATAGGGCTTCCTTGCAACTTTAAAAAAAAATCCTCTTTAATAGCATTTTTTATTGCAAGAACTTGAACCCTAAAGATTTGATGTTATAATGGTCAAACTATTTCCCTTTTTGAAATTGGATTCATATAAAAACTATATTTACACCACTTCAGAAATATAAAGTATCAGTTTTCTTGTAGCTCTAACAAAGCCTCTCAAATTTATATAATGGTATATTTAGAACAATAGAAGTATAACTCATTTTCATAACTTAATATAATTTTCCTTTCCTTCTGTGAAACCAAATTACCTACTAATTCCTCTATTCTCCCTTATTTATCCTTTTCAAGTCTTCATTTGTAATCTCTATCCCTTTTTACAACTACATGACTACTAAAATTATCATGACCCTTCAAACCTTTAATTGAATAGTAGTAAATTCCACTCCATTAAAGACATTTATTTTCCTAATTTAGATACACCAAGCATAAAAAATTTGTAAACCCCTATGTAAAAGAATTGAGAACAGAAAAAGTTTAAATATATTATACCTTTATTGCCAATCTTAATAAAAACCTAATCAATTGGTTGAGAATTTTCAAAGTGGTTATTACTTCTTTGATATATGATCTTTTTCTTTTTGTGTTTCTTATATTAATGCTTCAATTACTTCTTCTTCCAAGGTTGTTTAGGCTTTTTTAAGCCAATTCAACAATAGGCCACACTTTTTCCTAAAATTTATAAATTAAATGCATGAAAAGAGAAAACATTAAATGTATAATATGCATACCTTCTAAAACTAGATGATGACTCTTGTTGCCCCTTTATTTCTTCTTTGTAAAACTATACTTTAAACAAGATAATAATGGCATGCAATTTAAATTCCAATTGATTGAGAGAAAATGTCATTAAGAGTAATTTGGAATATTCATTATTCATTAAAACAGGGAAAGAATATTTTAAAAGAATGTTTTACTCTTTGAAGAACAAGGGCTACCTTGAATGTTTTTTTTGGTAATTTCTACCCAATATTTAAAGGGTATTTTGAAAAAAACACCCATTTTTGCAAGGTAAAATGGCTCAAAAAAGGGCCAGAAGGGCATCAAGTTTTTGCCCCAATCAATGGAGAGAAGAATTGTCAAATGGAAAACTAATCTTTTTATTCTTTTCATATCATATTTCAATTTCAACTTTATTAGTCTTTAATTTAAAAATAAAGATCCTGAATCTGAAAGGCTTTAGTTGCAAAACTAGCAAGTTTCATGACATATGAACCTTTGGGGCCTTGGAATGCATCTTATAAACTATATGATGCCTGTGATAATTATTTGCATTGCTCAAGTCTACCTTGCTATTGTCAACTTAACACATTGAATACTGTTATTGTGCATTAACAGCTAAAACCAGTACATAACGACCTCTACTACTTCCCATTCCTGGTAGAGTCGTTAATAATAGCATGTGTTTATTCCAAGTCTCTTGTCAATTGGCTTCAACATTTATACCAAGTTGATTGTATGTGAAGCACCATTCACACTTCCCATACTCACTAAAATGCATTTACTTTTAATACTTCTGATGTGAAAATGTAGTACTTTCTGGAAATATCCCTTTTTTTAGAGCTCAAACTAGAACAAAGACATTGTGTGCCAAAGTAATAAGCTTTAGCATTCTTGTTTATGTGTGGCTTGATATGATCAAAAGCTTTTCCTCCAGCTAATACCATATTTTGGGAAGTGCCACAAAATTTAGAGTATGTGTTGCTCATGATCATGATGACAAAATACTAGGTGATTGTTCCAAAGAGGTATTAGTGAGGAAGAAGTTTCAATCTTGTCAAAACTTAGCACAAAAAAGATTATCTTGTACTCCTTTTGGGTGGTCTTATTGTGTATTGGGCACTTTTCCATTTTCCATTTTGTGACTGATTCACTAAATGCATTTTATTCTTTTTATTTGTAACATGTTCTTTCTTGAACATCCCTTTTTGTGAACAGTAAATGGATGGGATGGTGAACATATTTTCCAAGCATCTTAAGGATCTAGCAGTTGGCTCACACTTCAGTTAATTTTTTAAAAATCAAATTATATTTTTCAGAATAAATGACCAGATGAAAAATTGATACTTGATTAAGAAATGTTTTTATATCAACAAAAGCAGCCTTCTATAAATTATATCTCTAGAACATTAATATATTAGTTAAATATTGCTATATTTTTTAAGTTCCACCCCATAATACATTAGCTTCAGGAAAATTAAACATCCAGATAAAAATTTATTAATAGAAATTATAAAATATTTTAAATATGCTTTTAGCTAGTTTCTTTTTGCTTTCAATATTAAACTTACTCTGAAGACTGATATTATGTTTAAAATAATAATTCCTAAAAAATTTATAGTTCTAAGTGAGCGTCTGCTTGTGGGAATTGAACCGGATTTTTTCTGTAGCTCTAATCCTAAATAAGCTACGCTTACAACAGTTTGTTCTTGAAATTTAAAACGTTCCTGGAATTTAGAACGTTTTGTTCCTACGAGGACGAAGCCATTGCCTGCTTCTGCGCCAAAGGGACCAGCCTTCTTCTCTTGCGTGGAGAAGTCGCAGCGGCTTGGAGTTCCTGGGCTCGGCTCTTCATCCCTTCTGCCGCACAATCTCTCGTTCCCTTCGCACTATCGCTGGAGTTGCCAAAGACTCGCGATCAACATCAAAAATCTTGCCTCACCTGTACCTGAATGGTGCGCTCACCCAGTACTCCTTGACCTTCAACGGCGCGTTCTCCAAATTCTCGGCCACCTCCCAGGACGCCGTTTCCACTGGCCAATCCCTCCAAAGCACCCTATACTCTCGCTTGTTGCAGGCGTTGATCCTCGAGTCGATCACCTTTTCAACTTCCCATTCGGGGAACCCATTCACGAGAACGCACGCCATTGCTCTACAAACCCTTAGACCCTTTTTATAGTTTAGTTCGAATCAAAAGGCATATAAACCATTAAAGAACGCATATCCCCGTGCACATTCCTGGCATATGCCTAAAGGGCACTTCGCGTTTTAAAAGAGGGGAAAGCGGTTCCCTTGGCAGCATAGGGTTTCGAAGGGACGATGTCCCCAATGGCTGCCACCGATCGCGATGAATGCCCCGGGAGCCCATCCAAGGCGCGGCGATTGCTCCAGAAGGCCTACAATCTGGTGGACTACCACGCGCTCCCCGATTATCTCCGCGACAACGAGTACATCCTCAAGCACTACAGGGTGAATTGGCCGCTCAAGCAGACGATCCTCAGCATGTTCTCCATCCACAACGAGACACTGAACTTCTGGACGTAAGTATCGCGATCCCTTTCCCCCTTTTTCCATCGCGCGACTGACGGCACCCCTTTTCTTGCTCCAGGCACTGCGTGGGATTCCTCCTCTTCGTCTTCCTCACCATCAACGTGATCCTGACGGTGGAAATCCCCACCCTGGTGGCCGAGCTCCTCCACGCACCGACCGCGCGCTGGCCGATCTACACATTCCTGGGCGGTGCCATGTTTTGCCTCTTCTCCAGCAGCGTCGCCCACCTCCTGGGCTGCCACTCGGAGAGGGCCTCGTATTTGCTCCTCCGCCTCGACTACGCAGGGATCGCATCGCTCATCTCCACCTCCTTTTATCCGCCGGTCTACTACTCGTTCATGTGCTCGCCGCTGTGGAGAAACCTCTACCTGGCGGTGATAACGCTCTTGGGCGTTCTCGCCATACTGGTATCGCTGCTGCCGGTGTTCCAGACGGCCGCCTACCGCCCCGTTAGGGCGGCGCTGTTTGTGGCCATGGGCGTGTCGGGCGTGGCGCCGGTGGTCCACAAGATTTTCCTCCATGGCAACCAGCCGGTCATAGTGTTGACCACCGTCTATGAGCTTTTTATGGGGCTGTTCTACGGCATGGGCGCGCTCGTTTACGTGACTAGGGTTCCTGAGAGGTGGAAGCCCGGGAGGTTTGATATCGCCGGCCATAGCCACCAGCTTTTCCACGTGTTGGTGGTGGCCGGGGCGTACACTCACTACCGTGCGGGATTGCTCTATCTCCAGTGGAGGCACTCCAATGGATGTGGCATGGTGTGATTGGTCCTAATTCTTCTCTCAGCTTGAGAAGATTTTAGGTTGATGGAAAGTTTAGAACAACTATGTTTTCTCATGCTGAGATGCTAGTTTTTAAAAACCATGTCTTCTGAGCATTGTAAGGGCATTTTTGCTAGTATCTAGCAACTTGGCTAGCTGCAAAATGTAGAGATGTTTTGATTATATGGAGAACATGAGCATTCTAAAAGTTGTAAGTACTGAGATGTTGTACTGAAACATTGTTTTCCATGGTTCCAATTTGGACAAGCAAGCTGTGATAGCACGGACACGATTTCCAATACAGTGTACGCGACCCCTTTGACCTTTCCGTTTGATCATTTCCAGGGGGTCTCCTTGCAAATTGTCAAGGCGATCGTGGCCTCGCACGCCGTGCATGATCGTTCGTTACAAGTATGCCATGTTTTGTGGCCCCGGAAGCCAGACGTCTCCGCGGGTGTGGTGTATATAAACTCCACACGCAATGCATCGAAACAGCAAAGGCTTTCTCGTTTCCTCGCAGGATCTACCAATTCTCTGGCAGGATCTATCGAGTTTCTCGCAGGATCTATCAATCCGGAAGAACCAATGGCGGGATCGAGGCCAATGCTGATGGGATTCCTCGCGATTCTCCTCCTCTCGTCCTTGATCTCGTCCTCTCTCGCCAGCACCACCAAGTCTCCATCTCCGCCACCTAGCAAAGAGGAGGAATGGTCCCGTCCAAGCAAGGACGAGTGGTTCTGGGGTGGAAGACGTCCGGCGACTTGCGATAGGAAGCCCGCGATTTGCTTGGATGGGAGGTACAATCCCGCCGGGCCTACGTGTTGCAACAGGCAGTGCGTGGATATTCTCACCAATAGAAACTACTGTGGGAGCTGCTGGAATAGATGCCCCTGGGGATATTCCTGTTGCAGAGGTCGCTGCGTCAATCTCCTTCGCGACAGTCGCAACTGCGGCAAATGTGGCCGCGTGTGTAAGAACAAGCGCTGCGACTATGGCTTGTGTGGCTACTAGCGGGGAGAATTTACCGATCTTCTTGGCAGCTAGTTTTACTATCTACTCGTGTTAATAGCAATTCTTTCTCTTACCCCGAGTCTCTGCAAATGCAATGGAAATAAATATTTTGTGCTCTTGTGCCGCGGGGTCTAGGGTTTTGATTCTCCGCGAGGATGCGCTGCGTGCACTGTGGATCGCCCGTGATCGGCACCTTTGTGCAGTACTCGCCGGGCAATCTACGCCTCCGGAAATGCGTAAGTTCTTGATAATCTGCGAGAAATCGCTTCGTGTTCTTTATCTTGTCTCTGTTTTGTTTTTCAGCCAAAATGTGGATGCGTCGCTGATGAATATGTGGAGTGCGAGCCGATTGTAAGCTTGTCATTCCGATCGATGATCTTCTACTTTCTGCGTTTGATGATGGATCGTGTTTTCCAGATTGTTTTCGTTGATATTGTCTTGCACAAGCCAGAGGCTTACCGGCATTTGTTCTTCAACAGCAACGCTCTAAGTTCGAAAGTAAGTGTTTCGCTCTTCGATTCTCTCGAGGCGAGCTGATTTTGTCGTTTGAAAGCAGGTCGTAGTGATGGCAGTTCTTCTACTTGTTGTTTTGGAAGCATGTCTCTACGACTATTTTAGCACTGAGAGGGCCGCTGCCATCTCGTATCGATCGACTAAGGTGATCTAGCAATTTGATCTAGAAGTTGAGCTTTACATTCCGTGACGATGATATAGATGTTGGCCAAAGCAGCAGTGACTTTCAGTAGCTATATCACAGGCATCTGGATCATGCACAGACTCTTCACAAAGAAACGTTCCAGCTCGACGAGTTTAATGGACATCCTTACCGCAATCACTTCTTCAAGCTACTTCAAGCTTTTCATTTTTGCGATGATGGTATGGTATCCTTCCTTTGCATTTGCACGACGAGTATGTCGATTATGTGTTCCTTGCTTCGTGCAGATATGGGACTTCTCCCCGCATATCGCGTTGGTGATTGAGGTGTTGGTACTGATCTCCAATGGAGTCGCTCTGCAAGGTAAGAAATGGAAGACGAAAACTTCTTGTTGGCTGTTGACGAAATGACTACGTTTGATTGTTAGTTGTTTTGAACACTAGCGCGAACATAAGTATGGTCTTAGTAGCAGCATCTGCAGCCCCGACATTTTTCTGGAAGTTGTTCTTATACTACAGTCTGTGGGCAAACCCTCAACCTCAACTTTGACCAATCGGGTTTTCATCACTGCTCTGGCTATGGCGGCTGTGGCTCCCGGAATCATAGTACCCCTTTCGAGCGGTGGGCAATCCAAGCTTCAATATCAGAGTGAATTCTCCTCTGCTGCTCCTTGTGGTGCTGCTGGTGCTTGTTCTCGGAAGCAAAGTGTGTTGCTGACACGCTCAGGTTCTCATCGAACATAAGTTTTGGATCAACCCCTTGTCTTCCTTGCAGTTCCAAGATTGCTAGTAAAGGCCAATGCAGCAGCTCTATGTGCATCCAGCTTGGTGAAGGAAGACTCTGAGGTTGGTTTCTTGATTTCCAGCACTTTAGAAGCTGATTTGCTTGATTCCTTGCAAATTCTTAAGGTGGTTCCGGAGCACTCGGTATCTGTGATCTTACTTGCTGGTGGCGTAGGGAAGCGGATGGGGGTATAGTCTGACTCTTTCTACCCTTTTGTGTGAATTTCTAATCGCGATTGTTATTCTTGCAGGCTGATATGCCAAAACAATATTTGCGTCTTCTAGGACAGCCTATTGCGCTATACAGGTTGGTGCGGAATAACTTGGTCTTCGTTTTGTTGATGCTAGCGCGTTTGCCACAGTTTTTATACATTTGCTAACATGCCTGAAGTTAAGGAGGTCGTGGTGGTTTGTGACCCATCATACAAGCATCTGTTTGAAGGTAACAAACATTATGCCAGTTTGATCATTTTTTCAAGACGTTTACTTCTCAGAAGCTAGCAAAAACATCAAGATAGTCGTAAAATTTGCTCTACCTGGCAGGGAGAGACAAGATTCTGTTTTCAGCGGACTCCAGGTGAAATTTGCTTGGGTCTTTTATCATGTCTGATCGAACTAGTGTTGTCTCGGTTGTTTCAGGCTATCAGTGATGACTCGAAGCTAGCTTGTATCCATGATTCTGCGCGACCTCTTGTCCTGGGCCATGACATACAGAGGGTGTATGCGTTGCTTACTCGTCTTTCAAGCACTCAAACTGTTCGCGTGGTTTTCAGGTTTTGAGAGATGCCTGGGTGCATGGAGCTGCTGTTCTTGGAGTACGTGTTAAAGCCACTATCAAAGAGGTACGCAGATCATACTCGTTCTGGTTTGATAGTAAATTTGACCACAGGCAGGAAGCGATCATTTCGTCAAAAAGACATTGAACAGACAGAACTTGTGGGAAATGCAAACCCCTCAGGTAAAACTCGATGAAACATTCCCTCACTTACTAGCTTTAACTTGCAGGCTATAGAACCATCACTACTTCGGCAGGGATTCGGACTTGTTGAGAGGTGAGCAAGAGCGTACAGTTCTTTTGTTGGCTGTGAGAAGAACTTGGTTTTGATGCAGGGATGGATTGGAGGTCACAGATGATGTTTCCATTGTGGAGTTTTTGAAGCGTCCAGTGTTCATCACAGAGGGCTCTTACTCCAACTTGAAAGTAAGTCACTCCTTTCTTCTCTTTGTGGTTCTTTCAGTAAATGTGATAGTTTTACAGGTAACTACACCAGACGACATGCTGGTCGCAGAGAGGATCCTCCAATCCGCCAACTAAGATGGATCAATCAGTCCATTCAGATTTTAGTTTTCTTCTCGCATCATCGTCACTGGCGTTTGAATCTTCGTGTCCAGCTCGAGCTCCTCGGTTTGTTGCTCCTGTTCTTGCTCTTGCTCGTCCTTCTGCTGCTCCTGCTCGATCTTGTCTTGAATTTGCGGACGTTTGCGTCTAAACTCGCTCCTGAGGTCCGGTCCTATGATCTCGATTCTACTGAGAATTGTGTTCTTGGCAGTCTCTTCGTCCATTCCACCCTCGACCAGCTTAATAAATTCTTCTCCCTGGAAGAAAGAAACTCTTGTCAGCACAATTTCTTCTCGTAGTTGATACTTACATCCCGCAATGCTTCCATCCTGATTTGGCGCTGGAGTAGAAACGCTCCAAAGACCGCCATCGCTGCCATTCCAATCGGGAGGGCCACCGCCGCCGCGGCAATCGTCCGGAATTTCTCGTCCGAGACTGCGCCAATTTCTACCAATCTTCTCCTTCTCGAGGCCGCCGCTCGCTCCACCCGCGCTGCCGAGCAAGTAATGCCAGATGGAAATGCTGGTGATCGTGCGGAGGAGCGATGGTGTGGATTGTAGAGAAGATACGAGAAAGAAGACGGCAATTGGAGTAGCCCCATCTTCATCCTGATATTTTAGGGTTCTTGGTTTGTGGACACTAAGAATTAGGGTTTATGGCGCGGCCAGAGCGCCAGGCGCCTCCGGAGCTCTTCTACAATGAATCCGAGTCGCGAAAATACACGACGTCGTCTCGGATCATCCATATCCAGGTAAATGCGTGGTATTGGGAGCATACACTTAAGCTATTCGTGAATTTTGTGAAGGCAAAGCTGACAGAGAGGGCTATGGAGCTTCTCGCTTTGCCTGATGACAAACCAAAGCTTCTTCTTGACATTGGTATTTTCTCTCCTTGCATTGTTTTCTTCGTATTGATTCTCTTCTTCGAGCAGGTTGTGGATCGGGCTTGAGTGGAGAAACTTTGAGCGAGAAAGGTCATCACTGGATAGGAATGGACATTTCACAATCGATGCTAGGTGATCTAGGACAAAGAAGAAGGATTTTCTTGGTTTTGACATTCTTTTCACTTTTTTTCTTCCAGAAGTTGCTCTAGAACGGGAAGCGGACGGTGATTTACTTCTAGGAGACATAGGACAGGTACTCTCATTTCTTACGATTCTTCTTGACTTTGCGAATGCTTGCAGGGATTAGGACTACGGCCAGGAGTGTTTGATGGAGCGATCAGCATTTCTGCTGTCCAGGTAGAGTCCTCTCTCTCTCTTTCCTTCTTTCTTTCTCTTTTATTCCATGTTGGACCTGATCTTCACTAGGTGAGCAGTGGCTGTGCAACGCCGATAAGTCGTGCAATGATCCGCGGAAGAGGCTGAAGTAAGCGTTTCGTGTTTCAAACTTTCAAGTAATTCGCGTTGTTTTAGATGTTTCTTTACGGCGCTCTTCCATTGTCTAGCGAGAGGTGCCAGAGCAGTGCTCCAGATCTATCCCGAGAACACTGCGCAGCTTGAGTTGATCACATCCGCAGCTATGCGCTGTGGCTTCTCGGGCGGTCTTGTGGTGGATTATCCTCACAGGTAAGCTCTATAAGTTTCCTTTCAACTTTGAGAAACTTAACGTTCCATGCCTCCAGCTCTCGCGCGAAGAAGTATTTTCTCTGTCTGGTATCTGGGCCTCCCAGCGTACTTCCAAAACCCAAGGGCGAGGACGGAGGAAGCGAAAGTGAAGACAACGAGATTGACGAGGATGATGAAGAAGAAGAAGACAATGCAAGAACGGTACGCGAAAATACCATAGACACTAAACTTCAAGTGTCTGTGACACCCAGGTGAAATTCTCCGGGAGGGAAAGACCCGCAAAGAGAAGCAAGCTCGAGAAGAAGAACAAAAAAGGACGCGATTGGATTCTCCGCAAGAAAGAACAACGCCGAAAAGCCGGGCATGAAGTTCCCAGAGACACCAAATACACTGGAAGAAAGCGCAAAGCTCGGTTCTAGCAAAGAAGTTCTAGCAAAAAAAGAAGAAATCACAGTTTCTGCATGGAAGAGTTTTTTTTTTTTCGTGCTTCTTCTTTGATGTGGATTCCTCGCCCACTTTGGTTGTGCTTGGAATAGACACAGCAACGTTCTTAAAAAGAGACTGGGAGATTCTTCCAACCGGTCATCTCCTCTTTAAACCAGGCGTATATGGCGATGGGAGAAAGTAAGGGTTTTATTTTACTAGGCACGACGCGGAGAGAGCGTTGGAGCTGGGCGGCAATGCAGATTTCGATCCCGCGCTCTCAGATCTGATCTAGGCTAGGGATCTATCTCCGGCGTCTCGCGCGCGTGGATTCGTGGGAGGGATTTCTTCTTTCTCAGGGATGGAGAGCTTGATCGGGCTCATCAATCGGATCCAGCGAGCTTGCACGGTGCTGGGGGATTATGGGGGGAACAACGCGCTGCCGACGCTCTGGGAATCTTTGCCGTCCGTGGTTGTGGTGGGAGGCCAGGTGAGTGTCTCGCATTTTCTTTAGTGGAGAATGAAAGTTTATTCCGGGATTGTTCCAGAGCTCCGGGAAATCATCGGTGTTGGAGAGCATTGTTGGGCGCGATTTCTTGCCCAGAGGGTCTGGTAAGATTCTTTGGTCTTTTTCTTGGCGCCGGTGATAGCAGCATTTTGTTTGAAGGAATTGTGACCAGGAGGCCGCTAGTGCTACAGTTGCATAGGACAGAGGATGGGCCAGACTACGCGGAGTTTTTGCATCTACCCAAGAAGAAATTCACGGACTTCGGTAAGAAACTTTGGTAATTCCTACCTCTGGCGGACTTAGCTCTTACGCTTTCTATTTGTCTTAGCACTGGTGAGAAAGGAGATTCAAGACGAAACCGATCGGATCACTGGACGTAGCAAACAAATCTCGCCGGTTCCTATTCATCTCAGCATTTACTCTCGAAATGGTTTTGTTTCATGGTTGATTGTTTCCACGACGAGTTTAACTTCTTGTGTTTTGTGGCAGTCGTGAATTTGACTATGATAGACCTTCCGGGCTTAACGAAAATTGCTGTTGGTAAGAATTTTCATGACGAATGTTTTAGCTTTTTTCTTTTTCCTTTTGCTTTGCAGACGGGCAGCCTGAAAGCATTGTCGGTGATATTGAAAACATGGTCAGGTCTTATGTTGAAAAGGTTGGTTTCTGGTTATTATTCAACCTTTGCAGTGCTTAACATCTTGTAACTTCAGGAAAATACGATCATTCTGGCCATCTCTCCTGCCAATCAAGATATAGCAACATCAGACGCAATGAAACTTGCACGCGAAGTCGATCCGACGGGTGAGATATATTATTTTCATGTCAATGTTCTAATGGATTAGAACATTGCGTTAGGTGACCGAACGTTTGGAGTTCTCACAAAGCTGGATCTGATGGATAAGGGAACCAATGCTATTGATGCAAGTATCTTTATGTTTACTAAATTCTTCAGTTTAGATTGACTCTGATTTTCTACAGGTGTTGGAGGGTCATTCCTATCGATTGCAACGTCCCTGGATCGGTGTTGTCAATCGATCACAAGCAGACATAAATAAAAGTGTCGACATGATCGTCGCCAGACGAAGGGAACGTGAGTATTTCGCTTCAAGTCCAGATTACAGGCATTTGGCAAGCCGCATGGGCTCTGAATATCTTGGAAGAGTTCTTTCGAAGGTGATTGTGAAACATTTTGTGGCCGCTCTGAAAAATCTCTTTTGCAGCATTTGGAAGCAGTGATAAAGGCACGTATTCCGAGTATTCAGTCCCTTATAAACAAAACCATCACCGAACTAGAAGCAGAACTTGACCGACTTGGGAGACCTATTGCATCGGACGCAGGGGTAAGATAAAGGCGCTTCATTATATCTGGAGCTGAAGTACTTTCATTTTTAGGGGCAACTGTATACCGTGTTAGAGCTTTGCAGGGCGTTTGACCATGTTTTCAAGGCGTATTTAGATGGAGGGTAAGTTTTTTATGGGCATGCTTTTAGTTGGCTTTACATTTGATTATCGTGTCAGACGTCCTGGAGGAGATCGAATCTATAACGTGTTTGATCATCAACTACCTGCAGCTGTGAAGAAACTGCCGTTTGACAGACATCTTTCCATTCAAAACGTTCGGAAAGTTATCGCAGAGGCTGATGGCTATCAGCCCCATTTGATTGCTCCAGAGCAAGCGTATCGGCGACTTATTGAAGGTTCGCTTGGTTATTTGAGAGGACCAGCAGAGGCGGCTGTAGATGCTGTAAGTTTTTATTTGATATAGTTATTAGTTGAGAGCATTTTGTGCATTGTTTGCCAGGTGCATTTTATACTGAAAGAGCTTGTGAGGAAAGCTATAAACGAGACCCAGGTAAAATGCTATGATGTTAATTTTATATGTGCTCACAAGTTTACGCTTCAGGAACTTAAGCGCTTCCCAACTTTTCAAGCGGAGTTGTCTGCTGCAGCAGTGGAGGCTTTAGAAAGGTTTCGTGAAGACAGTAGGAAATTTTGTCAGTCGCTAGTGGATATGGAGGCCGGCTATCTGACTGTGGAGTACTTCCGTAAACTCCCCCAGGAAGTCGAGAAAGGACATCCGAACAATACAACAGCCGACCGTTATGGGGAAGCTCATTTGCGCCGAATAGGTTCGTAACCAAGCTGAAAACATACCAAATGCTCATCGCTTGCGTTTTCAGGATCCAACGTACTGCAATACGTTCACATGGTCTGCGAAATGCTCAAGAACGCTGTTCCCAAAGCCGTTGTTCACTGTCAAGTTCGCGAAGCCAAACGCTCGCTGCTCCACAACTTTTACGCACAGATCGGCAAGCGAGAGGTAGATAGGAAACCTTCAGCTCGAAACTTGTTTATCTCACACAAATTTCCTGTACAAACTCCGCAGGGGAAGCAGCTGGCACAGATGCTGGACGAGGATCCGGGGCTCATGGAACGTCGCTCGGCTTGCAGCAAGAGGCTCGACCTCTATAAAAGCGCGCGGGATGAAATAGACGCAGTCGTCTGGGATAAATGAGGTCATTCTTTAGTTTCTTACTTTCTTCTGTTAACGAATTTGACGTAATACACAATAGCTTTACGAGTAAACAGTGCTCTTCTTTCCAAGCTCGACTGTATTTTACAACAACGATGTTCCAGCGTGAGCGTAGTAGGTTGTGTAGCTTTGTTTCGATTCTTACAATCTGCTCGATTTTCCAGGGATACGTATATGCATTACTACGCACTACTTAAATATGTGCTGCGTAAAGCCGGAGCGTTTAAACGGGGTTTGCCAGCTGACGAAGATGGACTGGCCCACGTCCACGGGACACGTGACGCCGCGCCGAGTGTAGGCACCATGCACACATAGCAGCGCCAAACCCCTGATTATTTTCCTTGTTCGAGTTTTCGCTGACACAATTTTTCCAGGGAGGCAGAGAAAATGAGCAGGGTGGGGACGAGATCCGCCGAGGTGCGGGGCAAGCAGACCATGGATGACGAGAAGCAGCTCAAGAAGCAAAAGACTGGCGGTGGTGGCGACGCCAAGAGCCGGGAGCAAGACGTCAAGAACTTCCACGAGTTTGTGGAGAAGCTCAAGAGCAATGTGTCCCAGGAGGAGGTGAGGGCGATCCTTTCCGAGAACGCCCAGGAGATGGATTCTTCCATCTCCGTTTACGAGCATTGGTATGACGAATGGCTTTCCTTCTTGTGGTTTTTCTTTCTTAACTTTTCTTTTATAAATTGCATTTTAGTGCTGATCAAATGATGTACGGGCCGCTGGAGCCTTGCCCAAGCTGTGGTGGTGCGCTGAAGTTCGCAGTTCACGAGTACACTTGTACTGGCTACATTTCCGAGTGGTCCAAATGTGGCTTTTCTACAAAGAATGTTCCACGCAAGAAAGAGCCGCTCAAGATTCCAAAACAGCTGAAGAATGACTACATAACCAAGGTTCGCTGAAGTTTAAACGTCTTGGGTTTCAAGGGCTAAACCTTGTACAGTGGGAGCAAGAACACGATACCGAAAAGAGGCCTGTGCGGCATACGGAAGATTCGGCAAAGCCTGCTCCCGGAAAACCGTTTTCTGGAATGCATATTTTACTCGCTGGCCGGACTAAACGTCCGCAGGTTTTGTCATTTCTTTTCGTTCAAGGAGCCTTAACGTTTTCTTATATCAGTACAAGTTGCGAGGGGACTTCGAAAAACACGGTGGCAAGGTTGCGCACGCTCTGAAAGAAGGTGACTTTTTGGGCAACAAGTAGACTTCTTTCTCACTTCATTCAATGTATAGGCATAACTTGCTTGGTAGTAGCTGAGAGCGACTTGTCAAGCGGTGTCTACGCAAAGATAGGCGACGCCAGGTTTTGCTTTCGCTCTACTTTCAATCTGACTTTCCGGTCTGAGCCTCCAGGTCCAAAAACATTCCTGTCGTCAAGGAATCCTGGCTTCAGGACTGTTTATCAAAGAACGAAGTCTTAGATTTTGCGCCTTACCTCTTCGGCGCTCAAGCTGAGGGCGACAAACGCGCTGCGAAGAAACAACAGGTGGACCAAGGAGTGGCTGCAGATCAAAACGTGGACAGTAGCACCTACTTGACTGATGAAGTAAATCTCTGGTTGCCGTGGTTTACATTCACAAGCCTGTTGTACGCTTTTTGCAGATAAAACTGGCGGGCAAGAAGTATGTTCACAAGGACAGCGAGCTCGACAAAGAAGGAGGGCGTGTGTTTGAACACGAAGGGATTGTCTACAATTGCGCATTCTCTATCTGCGATCAGACAAGCGGCCTCAATCAGTAAGTGCATTTTAGCGGGTTTTGGTATAATGTATGGTGTGTGCTTTCTTTCAGTTGTGCCGCCCAGCAGCTTGTTCAAGTGCCGGATGGCACTCTCTATTTTTACCACAAGAGAGGTCGACTTGCGACTGGCGTGCCTGTGAATGAAAGGATGGACGAGCAGACTGATGTCAACAAAGCTATCCATAATTTTGCTGCATTGTTCAAAGAGATAACTGGAAACGAGTTTGAAGCATGGGAACGAGAGAAGAAGTTCACAAAGAAGCGTTCAAAGTTCTATCCTGTGGACATGGTATGTCAAGAACATTTTGTCGTAAATCATGCAATTCTTCTAGGATGATGTGTGCGACGCGAGGGCAGGAGGACTGCAAGACCAGCAGCTTGGTGTTGTTGCTGTGCATTGCAAACTCGACCCAAAAGTTGCCCGATTTTGTAAGTGCCTATTCAGTCAAGCCGTCTACAGGTTTGTTACGGGTTTAATGCTTCTCGCAGTTTGTTAATTTTCGGTGTTATGAACAGGCATGCAATGTTTGAGATGGGAATCAACTCGCCGGAGCTACCTCTAGGAAGTCTCTCGGAGTTTCACTTCAAGCGATGTAAGCTCGTGTTAACAGAAGGTTATGATTTAACAAATTGGACTGGCAGGCGAGGAGTGCCTCTTGGAGTTTGCAGACTTCTTGCAGAAGGAATCTGACAGCAAGAAACACGAACAAATGTGCCTGGACTTCAGTAACAAGTGGTTTTCTCTGGTTCCTTCAACTCACCCGACCGTCATCAGTGATATTGCTCACCTCACCGAACTGGTACTTCTGCAAATCGAAGATTGATGATGTCTAATATTGTTTCTCAGGGTGCAAGCGTACTGGAATCTCTGAAAGCGATATCAGTGGCATCACATATCATAGGTGATATGACTGGTGACACATTGGACGATCCTTTATCCGATCGCTACGCCAAGCTCAACAGCACCATGACTTGCGTGGACAAAGAAAGTGACGATTATAAGATGGTTCAGAAATACCTGGAGAAAACTTACGAGCCAGTCAAGTATGACGATGTGGTACGTTCTCCCTTCCGTTTGCACAGCGCGTAACTAAACGTTTTTTTATTACTTTCTCAGTCTGTCAGCATTGTGATGGAGGAGTTGTTCATGGTTGAAAGCAGTGCGGGACCTTCGTTCGAAGAAGTCGACAATCTGAAAAACAAAGTGCTTCTTTGGTGCGGTACGTGAAAGAGCTTTTTTTTCCTGCTTTCGTACGTACTGACGGAGGTATTTCTAGGAACAAGGACTTGCAATCTTATCAGCACTTTGGCTCAGGGAATGCAGCCGGCAATCTACAACGCTCCTGTTCCTGGCTACATGGTATTGGAATTGTGCAATTTTGTGCGACTGCCATAACGTTTCATTTGCTTCTCTAGTTTGGCAAGGGTCTCTACTGCACTGACGCGTCGTGCAAAGCAGCTAGCTACGCCTTCACTGGAGTGGACCGACCAGAAGGATTTTTGATGCTGGCCGTCGTTGGCTTGGGCGATAATGTGCTCGAGCTTCCAAAACCAGAAGAGGTTAGTAAAGACTCTCAAGGACGCTGTAAAGATAAGCACCGTTCTCATTTTAATTCTATCCCTTCGCAGGACGTTGCCAAGTACGAGCGCGAGAAGGTTGCGATCAAGGCCCTGGGAAAGAAGCTTCCGGATTCATCAGAGTACTTCAAATGGAAAAACAACATCACGGTTCCTTGCGGTGCCTTGAAGTCATCTGGTCGTGACGATTGCACACTCGACTACAACGAGTATGTTGTCTATGATCCAAAGCAGGTAATCTATCCTTTTTTCCTGGTTTTCAAGGAAGACAATGTGGTTTGTTTCCAGGTGAAGTTGCAGTACATAGTCCAAGTTCGCTACGAAGAGAAGTGAAAGAGAGAGGTGCTGACTTTGCTAAGGAGAATCATTTTTCCTGTGGCTGATATTACGTAGGTGTAAAGAACACTGATAAGTTATGGTTTTCTCCTCGTCAATGCCACGGCAACGCCAAAACGAGAAAAGGAAAAATTGATATGTTGAACCCGGCGTGACTCGAACACGCAGCCTTCTGATCTGGAGTCAGACGCGCTACCATTGCGCCACGGATCCTCTCATGTCTCAAGCTTGACAGTTATTTCAAGTTGAAAGTAAAATAATCCCGCAAAAATCGTTTCCTGTTCCCTGGAACGCGAGTCAGTTAGGCTTGGGAAATCTCCAAACGACCTCTGTGAAAAGCCAAATAGAGAAGAAGGAAAAGCAAGAGATCCTGGGAGAAATCGATCGAGAGTAAGTGAGAGGAGGAGAGATTGATCGATCGAGAGAGATTGAGAAAGAGGAAGAGGAAGGAGGAGATGGCGAGGCAGCACAGGTCGAGCATCACAAAGCTCTGGTTCTTCCGCGTCATGCTCGCCATCTTCGTGCTGTCCAGCGTCGCGCTCCTCGTCTTCGCAAACTGGCACACGGTCAAGTACATGCTGCGCCCCATCTGGGACACCCCGCCGCGGAGCTTCGCCTTCATCCCGCACTACTACGCCCACAACATGTCGATGCGCGAGCTGTGCGCCCTCCACGGCTGGAAGCTCCGCAAGCGCCCCCGCCGGGTCTTCGACGCCATCATCTTCAACAACGAGCTCGACCTCCTCGAGATCCGCTGGCGCGAGATCGACCCCTACGTGACCAAGTTCCTGCTGCTCGAATCCAATGGCACCTTCACCGGCATCTCCAAGCCGCTGTGGTTCGGCGTCAACCGCAAGCCCGGCGGCCGCTTCGACTTCGCGGAGCCCAAGCTCGTCTACTCCGCCATCCGGACGCCCAGGCTACCGCGCGGCGTGCGGCCCTACGTGAACGAGGCGTACCAGCGCGACCGGATGAACGAGCTCTTTCGCACCGCAGGGATCCGCGCGGGCGATCTCCTGCTCATGTCGGACGTGGACGAGATCCCCAGCGGCCACACCGTGGACCTCCTGCGCAGCTGCGACGGCATACCGCCCGTGACGCACCTCCAGCTCAGGAACTTCCTCTACTCGTTCGAGTTCCCCACGCACAAGGACCGGAGCGACACGGGAAGCTGGCGGTCCACCGCGCACGTCTTCGAGCCGCGCGTCACGCAGTACAGCCACTCGCGGGTCACGGACACGATGCTGGCGGACGCGGGCTGGCACTGCAGCTTCTGCTTCCGCACCGTGGCGGACATCGCGTTCAAGATGCGGGCGTACAGCCACGCCGACCGGGTGACGCGCCCCGACTTTTTGCGCGAGGAGAGGATCCAGGACTTGATTTGCAGCGGGCGGGACCTGTTTGACATGCTGCCCGAGGAGTTTAACTACCGGGACTTGATCGGGAAGATGGGCAGCATACCCAGCAGCTACTCGGCCGTGAATTTGCCGCTCCATTTGCTCCGGAATGTGGAGAGGTTTCGCTACTTGCTGCCGGGCAACTGCGTGAGGCCACGGGTGTGATCGTGAGCTTGGGAGAACTTGCAAGACCTTGCGAGAGTTTGGAGTGACTCCCTGGAAAGAGATTATACTAGAGGATGGAAGAACTTCTTAGAACCATGGCGATCAAAGATTGCTCATGTTCTACGTATATTTTAATTCTTAAACATTGTCTTTTATTTCGTGGGCTGTATTGACTAGGTTTGATCGTTGACTCAAATATATTTTTAAAAGAATTGGTCTTTGGTCGTTGACTAATGTCTGACTAGATCCACTTCCATCTCTTCAGCCATTGGGAAGATCAATGCCGACCAAGATCAATACGTAAAGAGAGGTAGAAAGTAAAAATCAATGCTCCTTGGGCAATAGCCAGGGCCATAAGCGTCCATGCAAGGTCGCAACTCTTATTCAATTCCTTTTCTTCGTTGGTTTTTAGGCTTGTTTTGTTTTGGTCCAAGGGTTGGAAAGTGAGAGGGGAGAGAGAGGGGGACGATCTTAGGGACGCCATCGCCAAATCGCCATGGCAGCAGCGAGCTTGGCTCCGGCGGCGGCGGCAGCGGCGCTGCTCTCCTCCAAATCCGCCTCATTGCGCCTCTACAGCGCCAAGCCGTGCCTCTCCTTCTCCTCCTCCGGCGATCGGGCGTTTGGCGGATTATCGCTCCACCGGAGCCTCTACCTCCAGCAGCCGCTGCTCGCGAAGGATTCCAGCTCGACCTGGGAGAGCAAGCGTCCTCGCATCGTCGCTTCCGCTGCCGCTGCCTCGGATGCCGAGTAAGTCGAATCGAAATTTTAGAGATTTTCCTTCCTTTTCTAGATGGGAGGAGCTTTGCTCGTTACTTTACCTTTACCTGGAATGCGGTGCTTTGGACAGCTCCGGCGATGCAAAGATTGTCGAGGCGTCTGGTTTTGCGGAGAAATACCCGGCTCTCGTCACTGGATTCTTCTTCTTTATGTGGTAGGCATGCTTTTTCTTCCTTCCTTTTTTGCTTTTCCACTGTTCTCTCTTGCAAATGAGATCTTCCTTCTTGCAGGTATTTTCTCAATGTGATCTTCAACATCCTTAACAAGAAGATCTACAATTATTTTCCTTATCCATAGTAAGCTACCTCAGCTGACAAGGTTTTTATCATCTCCTGACATGGAATCGTTCTTAGTTTTGTGTCAGTGGTCCATCTTATCGTTGGTGTTGCTTATTGCTTGGTTTCCTGGGCCGTGGGAGCTCCAAAACGAGCGGTAGGTTTTTCTCTCTTCGTGTCTTTCGTGTGGCTCACTTGAACTTCTTTGTGGTGCAGCCGATTGATGGACAACTTCTGGGATTGCTGACTCCAGTTTCGTTTTGCCACGCGCTTGGACATGTCATGACGAATGTGTCTTTCGCTGCTGTCGCTGTTTCGTTCACGCACACCATTAAAGGTTGGCACGATATAGTTTTGTCGTGGATGTCCTAAGAACTCCTTGTTTCTTCTTTGTATAGCACTGGAGCCATTCTTTAGCGCAGCCGCTTCGCAGTTTATACTGGGGCAGCAAATTTCTCTGCCGCTTTGGCTCTCTCTCACGCCCGTTGTCCTTGGTAAGTGTTGATTCCAATGGTTGCAAGAGTAATAAACTGGGCCCGCTTTCAGGTGTGTCAATGGCATCGCTTACTGAGCTCTCGTTCAACTGGACGGGATTCGTGAGTGCCATGATATCCAACATTGCATTTACGTACAGAAACATCTACTCGAAGAAAGCCATGGTAACTCATGTCAAAGTTGCATTGGATTCTAGACTTTCTCGTGTTGCTACAGACCGGAATGGACAGTACAAACGTTTATGCCTACATTTCAATCCTGTCTCTGCTCTTCTGCATTCCTCCAGCAGTGGTGGTAAGTCTTCCCCTTGTTTATAAGCTAAGCGTCGTAAACGATTTAAAAAATTGCCTCTCACACAGATGGAGGGTCCCAAGCTATTGCAACACGGGTTTGCAGATGCCATTGCCAAAGTTGGAATGGTGAAGTTTCTGAGCGATCTCTTCTGGGTTGGAATGTTTTATCATTTGTATAACCAGGTAAGACTTTAGTTCTTTTGCATCAAAGGCGGCTTGTCAATGTTCTCCCAGATTGCTAACAACACTTTGGAGCGAGTGGCCCCTCTAACGCATGCTGTCGGCAACGTTCTAAAGAGAGTGTTCGTCATTGGTTTCTCTATCGTTATTTTTGGTAAGCTCTTGGCTTCCTTCTCTTCTCTTCTCTTAGTCCTCCTCGAGTCTAACTCGCGAGTTTTTCTAGGAAACAAAATCTCCACCCAAACGGGGATTGGAACCGGCATTGCCATTGCTGGGGTGACTATATACTCACTGATCAAGGCCAAAATGGAAGAAGAGAAGAGAAAGGGAGCTGCACCCAAGGTATAAGCCAGCGGATTTTATCCATTTACCCAGTTTTGTATTTATGCAAAAATCAATTATAATAAAATAATAAAATGTGTTTAAAATCATACTTCTTGGCCATGGATTCAAGAAAGAAAATTCAAGGCATGTAAACGCTTTTGTACAAAAGCCTTTGCATGCCCTTTCCTGCAATTTAAAACAATAAAAAGACATGTCATTTTATTGTTTTAAACGTAAACACCCATTTGGCAATACAACGTGTTTGCCAGCACACAAAGAGCCTCCCGAGTCGTTCCCAGTCGTTCTCTTGCAAAAGCTACTGAAACCTCGTTAACCAAAACATGTTAAAGTTATACGTTATCTTTCGCACAGCACGGACAAGAACTGCACGGAGAAATAAGTAAATTGTCTTAGAACTATTTTCTCGACTGTGTTTGTAGTCACCATACCACCCGTTAGAGCATTGGGACGTTTTTTGTTTATGAAAATGCGATGCAAAGCGAGCCAACAGGCTGAAGTGTTGATTTGCTGGTGTTGTTCGCCATTTTTCATTTTGGTGGGAGCGTTTTATGAATAATTTACAAAAATAATCTTAAGCCGTCTATTAAATTAGCTAGCGTATCTTGTTGTACTAAGTGTAAACTGTGCAGAACCATCACCTGATATTATTCTCTCACATATTCACCGAATCCTTTCGTAAACACAAGTGTGAGGAAGGACAATTTGATGAGAAATCCCTTGTGTGTTTGTTCCTCTACCGAGCTTGTTGTCACTCGCTTTTTCTCTCCACCATCTTTCCTTCCACAATCGTTTGCTAGAAGCTACTAGCTTCTTTTTCTTGGAAAGATCGAGTTGGGAAACAACAGGGTGCGTGGTTTTCTTCCTGGAGAAAAAAAAACACCATTTGATCTCTCTTTGCTTTTTTTTCCAGGCGAAAGCTCCTTTTGATCCACAGGTCCACTAGCTTGTAGCTTCTTTTCCTCTCGAAGTTCTCTACTAAATGCTTGTGTTTGATCCACAGGTCTGCAATGCTGATTAAGTTTCTGGAAGAGCTGGGCTTTGACATCAGGCATCCCAGAATCTCCACAAAAAATGAAATATACTACTGGCATCGAAAATTCCCACTGCTTTTCACGACAGTTCAATCCTAGATGTGATGCAAGAGGTTACATCGCTCGCGCAAAACGATACTTTGACGTGGAGATGCCCGCGTACAAGGAAAAGAACAACATCGCAGACTGCGAATCAGACGATGATGCTGGCCTTGAGTAAAGTTTCCATCTCATTGCTTAGAGGGTCGTTTGATGCATTCTTTCTTGAACTTCTTTGCTAGAAACGGGCTTTGCGCTTTCTTCCAGTGTATTTTGGTGTCTCTGGGAACTTCATGCCCGGCTTTTATTTCTTGCGGAGAATCCAGTCGAATCCTTTCTTGTTCTTCTCGAGCTTACTTCTCTTTGCGGGAATTTCACCTGCTGGAAGTTTAGTCTCTATGATGTTTTAGCGTACCGTTCTTGCATTGTCATCCTCGATGTCTTCGATTTCACTTCCTCCGTCCTCGCCTTTGGCTTTTGGAAGTACACTGGGAGGCCCAGATACCAGGCAGAGAAAATACTTCTTCGCGCGAGAGCTGGAACAAACTTTCAGAGCTTACTAATCCACCACAAGACACAAGACCGCTCGAGAAGTCACAGCTAGCTGCGGAACTCAAGCTGCGCAGTGTTCTCAGGATAGATCTGGATCAGCATTTCTGCTGTCCAGGTAGAGTCTCCTCTCGCTGTTTCCTTCTTTATTTCTCTTTATTTCATGCCGGACCTGATCTTCCACTAGGTGACCAGAGCGATAAGTCGTGTCCGGGGCTGAGTAAGTTACAAGTCATTCGTCGCTGCATATGGTATGGTTGTTTTAGATGTTTCTTTACGGCGTTATTCAATCGTCTAGCAAGAGGTGCCAGAGCTCCATCAAACACTCCTGGCTGCAAGAGTTTTAGGTAACTACAACAGACGACATGCCGGTTGCAGAGAGGGTCCTCCAGTCGGCAAACTAAGATGGATCAACGCATCACCGTCACTGGCGTTTGAATCTTCGTGTCCTGCTCGGTTCGTTGCTCTTGCTCGTGCTGCTGCTCGATCTTATCTTGAATTTGCAGACGTTTGCGTCTAAACTCACTCGAATCTACTGAGGATTGTGTTCTTGGCGCCCTCGACCAACTTAATAAATTCTTCTCCCTGGAAGAAAAGAAGCTCTTGTCAGAATCCTAGTCGATACTTACAACATCCTGATCTGGCGCTGGAGTAGAAACGCTCCAAAGACCGCCATCGCTGCCATTCCAATTGGGAGGGCCACCACCGCCGTCCGGAATTTCTCGTCCGACACTGAGAAATGCTAATCCAGGTGTAGTTACCTGTAAAACTATAACATTTACTGAAAGAACCACAAAAAGAGCAACTTACTTTCAAGTTGGAGTACGAGCGCTCTGTGATGAACACTGGACGTTTTAAAAACTCCACAATGGAAACATCATCTGTGACCTCTAATCCATCCCTGCCTCAAAACCAAGTTCTTCTCACAGCCAACAAAAGAACTGTATCACCTCTCAACAAGTCCGAATCCTTTCCGAATTAGTGATGGTTCTATAGCCTGCAAGTTAAAGCTAATA